ATACAAATACATTTAACGCTCGTTTCATCGATTCTCGAATTAAATTTTAATGTTCGAGGCAAGGAATTAATAAATTGGATTATTTTGAAAAATCCTTGATATTTTGACAAGTCTTCCATTATATCGAATCGTATAAATACATTTAACGCTCGTTTCATCAATTCTCGAATTAAATTTTAATATTTGAATCAATAAATTGGATTAATTTCTATTTTGAAAAATTCTGGATATTTTGAACGACAAATCTTCCATTGTTACATCGAATCGTACAAATATGAAAATATTTAACACTCGATCCCGTGAAATTAAACACTGAATTAAATTTTAACCTTTGAGGCAAGGAATTAATAAATTGGATTATTTTGAAAAATCCTCGATATTTTGATAAGTCTTCCATTATATGGAATCATACAAATACATTTAACGCTCGTTTCATCGATTCTCGAATTAAATTTTAATGTTCGAGGCAAGGAATTAATTAATTGGATTATTTTGAAAAATCCTTGATATTTTGACAAGTCTTCCATGATATGGAATCATACAAATACCTTTAACGCTCGTTTCATCAATTCTCGAATTAAAGTTTAATATTTGAATCAATGAATTGGATTAATTTCTATTTTGAAAAATTCTGGATATTTTGAACGACAAATCTTCCATTGTTACATCGAATCGTACAAATATGAAGATATTTAACAATTGAGTCTGTGAAATTAAACCCTGAATTAAATTTTAACCTTTGAGGCAAGGAATTAATAAATTGGATTATTTTGAAAAATCCTCGAAATTTTGACAAGTCTTCCATTATATGGAATCATACAAATACATTTAACGCTCGTTTCATCGATTCTCGAATTAAATTTTAATGTTCGAGGCAAGCTATCAATAAATTGAATTAATTCGTATTTTGAAAAATCCTGGACATTTCGAACGACAAATATATTTACACCGAGTCGTATAAATACGAAAACATTTAACCATAAGTGAACGGATAGGCTCGTTCCACCGAGGCGCTTCCTGTTTATTGTTCCGGTGTTCCGGTATCTTTTTTTCGTCAAGTTAGATGAATCCTTTATTCTTATTTCCGCCACGATAGTATCCGTATTCGTTCCGTATTCGTTCCTCGATCCGATCGTTCCGTTTTCCGTGTATAAACGCGTGGACAATGGAATCGATTCCGGACGAGAAAAAAAAAAAAATATTTCTCGATAAGGTCTTATAATAGACGCGATCATCAGAGATCGTTCGACGAATCATTCCTTTCTCCTCTTCTTTTCCCCCCTCCCTTTTCGTCCATTGTTCCCAAGATCACCATTTTCTCTAATGATGCAACTTGTCACTTTTGTTCTTCCTTCTTAACGAATCCTCGCCAATTACGACCCCTTCTCTCCAGGCTTATTTACCTATTTAATTGTACGCGACTACGGAGAGACGTGCAATTTTCCATCTTGGTGAAATATATATATATATATATGTGTGTACGCGCTTCCTGGAACAACGATCGAGATAGTTGGAATGAAAAACAATAATGTGAACATGCTTCGATGAATCGTTGCAAAAGACACGAACTGGCTTTGCAGTATTTTTGACGATCGATGCAAATTTAAAATTTATCGTCGGATCAAAAAAAAAAATTTTCCAAAATCCGTTGAATCATTGATATCACGTGGTACAATTATATTAATATTATTAACTTGTACCGATAAAATTAATTAGAATTTCGAAAGAGAGGAAGAAAAGAAATCGATCGTATCACGAATCGTATTTTTCGAACGTAATAACTCGAATCTGTTTCGATAAACTCTCCTTTTAAACCGGCCGTTTACGAAGGCTGAGGCGAAACTCGGTAATCGGTGAACGTGGTGGCGAAGTGAATTTAAAGAAGCGAGGCCGCACAAGGAACACGAGTCGAGGCAGGCAGGCAGGTAAACCGCAAGACAAACACTCGATACTCGTTTCGACTGTTTGCGTGTAACTTGGACCTGGTCTATTCGCTTCTAACCGTCTAAATATAAATACTTGCTACATTTCTCAATTGTGGACAATTCCATTAAATTATCATCCTTCGCAGGATGTTCTCCATCATAATAAATCGCTCGATAAGCGTAGCCAACTTTCCACTGTATCTTTCTTTTCCCTCCCTCGTTAATAGGATAAATTTGTTGCACCTTTTTTTTTTTTTCTTCTATCGAATAGCGCGATTAAAGGACATAGATCGAGGAGCAAGGAATGGAATTTTTCGATCGAAAGGAATGGAGCAGGGATAAATATGGGATGAGGTGGATAATAAAGGGAAGAAGGAAGGTGACTAGTGCTAACGAGTTTCGTGAGAGGGATGGACCGTGTTTCCAAAAAGATTGGAAGGGGGGAGAGGAAGATGAAAGGACGAGGAGAAACGCGTGTTCGAAAATGTTACCGGTGGCAGGTGTGGCGGACTGGTCCAGGAAAAAAAAGGAGATTAAAGTGGGTCGGGATGCAAGCCAATGCAGATGCACATGCACCAGATGCAGTTTACAGATATTGCTGCCAATACCTCGCCTCGCCTTTTTTTTTTTACGACCCCCATATTTAGTTTTCCCGGATCGAATGAAACGTGCATTTATTAACTCCGTGGTCCCGTAATTAAACGTAAACGAACGAGCGTGGGCGGCAAAATGGGATAAAATAATATTACAACGAGGGATAAAATAAAAGGAGGAAAAATTCGCGATTAAAATTAGAAGAACGAAGCTATAATTTTCGATGTAGCTAATGGTTCAATTTTTACGGGGAGATCGATTCGCCAAGATGAAAACTTGGAGGAAACGTTCGTCGTAGATTTCGAAAAATATTTTCTATCTCGCAAATATTTTTTTATTCCGAGGAAATTTTCGAAAGAATTATTCGAGGAAATATTTATTTAAATTTCTCAGGTTAAAATTATATTCGATTAAATTAAGGAAAAATTAAAGGACGCCTCGAAAATTCCAATTATAAATAACCTCGGCTCGCCAACGATCGTTAATTTTCTATTTCCCAACATCTTCTGCAACTCCCGGAATAATACATAATGGGCCGTGTGTTAAACGCGTGTTAAGATCGATCCATGAATAATTCACGCGATTCGCGGGCGAATAAATTTCCCCGAGATTTCGAAGAAAACGATCGATACGAAAATTTCGCTGTTTCGATTTGTATTCATCACGATGAACGAACAAACGTCACGGTTCATTCTCGATTATGAACGACGCTGTTAACGAACGTTCGATATAATTAGAGGGCGAGCTCGAGGAAAAATGCAACACGGGATTCGATGTAACATTAACGAGACTCTTTGGTGTCTTTTTTCCTTCACATCGAAACGTTTACAAAAGGGGGATCGAGAGAATACAAACACACCCTTGGCGAACCGCCATTAATTTTCACTCGCTGCTCTCTTTCTCTCTCTTTTTCTTTTCTTTTTTCTTTTTTCCTGCGGCTTTTCCTCCATTTCTCTTCGCCGTTTTTCTCTTCCTTTCTCTTGGATCTCACGATTTCGAAGATAAGGTCTGTAGATAAATCAACGCGAACTTTAACAAGAAAATATATCTCCACACGCTGGTATTTTACAATTTTATCTGTTACGATGGTGTGGATGTTATAGAAGAGAATGATTCTTCTTTCGAAAAAAGAATATTCGTTTGTATCTCGATCGACAGCATAGATCATTTAATATATCGAATTTTGACGATTCTTTGTTCTTTAATTTTAAAGATTTTTTTAATATTAATATATAATATATTTAATATATCGAATTTGACGATTCTTTATTATATCTTTATTTTTCTTATTCTTGAAAAGAAACACGCGATTCTTCTTTCAAATATTCGTTTGTTCCTCGATCGACATAGATCATTTAATACATCAAATTTTGATTCTTTAATATTGAAAATTTTTACTATATTAAATGTTTATTCAATTCAATCTCTAATTTAAAATTCATCCTTAATCCTTTTGACCTAACTTTTTTTAATTTAAAATTAATCTGAATCTGAATTATTCTATTGAGAAAACGAGTCAACACGGTTATTTTGTGTGTACAAAATATAATTACTCCCAGGTCGAAGCGAACACCTCGAAAATCCCGAGTGAAAAGAAGTTTAAATATTTGCGAAGGGATGTTCGTTTCAAGTGCAGGGTTAAGGGAGCAGAGACAAGAACGAGCATCGCGAATAGAGGCTGAACGATGACCCAGAACGCCAGATTTCTCTGCTCGTGTGTATTTGTCTCTCTCTCTCTCTCTCTCTTTCCCTCGTCGTCTCTGGTTTAAATTTGATTTACCTACTTTTGCACGTGCATGTCAATGTACCTGTCTTCTCGGATCCCGTGCATTCGAGGTCGCATAAATTAACGCATAAAGTAAACGCGTCCATCTTCTGAATATTTATTTAAAAAAAAAAAAGAAAAAACACACGCATATCACACGTTTCTCACGATTCTTGCATAATCGTTGAATAACGTTCAATCCTCGTAATCCGTCGTGAAAAAGATCAAAAGAGACAAACGAGTGTCCAACTATGGAGGCAAGCTTTCGTATCAATTTCGAAATAAATATTATTCAAGAGGAGTTATCGTTCTATATATGAAACGATACACGACAACGAAATTACATCGTTGAAAATTTGGAACAGCGATAAATTTTGAGAGATTATCGCCGTTCCATGAAATATCTATATAATAACAACAACAACTTTCCTTCTTCGTTCTCTTTGAGCGAGTTTCTTAAATATTTAGGCGAGGTTAACATTGAAATTGCGCCGAAAAAAGTTTCCAGAGAAAAAACAACGAGAAGTGACCGATGATTACATTATTACACTGGATTATTATGGAAAATGTTTTTTTCACATTTTTTTAAAAAAAATACGTTAAAATCGTGGAACAGAAAATCCTCTATATCAATCGAAATACGTATCGTCGCTCTACGTCATTTTTTTATCTCTGAAGAGAAATTTACGCGAAGAATTGAAAATATTGCGTGTATTCAAAATCTGTCGATCTGTATTCGCGAATATCGTTCGCACGCGTGTTCAGAGTTCTTTAGAGAACGCGAGCGAAATAAGCTCGTTTCGATCCAACATGATTCGATGGATGGACGTTTCCCTGGGAAATTAGTTGGCCGGTGAATATCGTTTTGGAATTCCACGAAAACGTGACGCACACGATCGTTAGATCGTAGGGGAAATCGGTAATAATTCCCTTCGAAATGGGTAAACCATTAAGGAAAATGGATGGCGTTATTCAATGCTGATAACCGATCGAACAGAATCGATAACAGGATCTCGCATTCCAAATCTTTTGGCGTTTATGGCCGTGGGGCAACGGTAAATGGGAATGTCGGTAGATACTATTTATGGAAAAGGTTTATGGCGAATAAATAGGATCGATGAATCGAAACGATTTCGTGTTCGGCGTTTAAGGCGATCGCAGCGCGAACAAAATGATCGCTAACGTAATGTGTACACTCGTAATTTTCCTATCGAACGAGATATCGCACGCCGAGGCAAACTAATTCTTAACTGATTCGTACGATCCTATAAATCAGATATGACAAAGATCGTGGAAATCATAAAATCGATCCCCCTTTTTTTGCAAAATCGCGTTAAAAATTTTGTGATCGATCCGAGATACTTTTATAAAAATTTGAAATCTTTTGTAAAAAAAATTAAATCGTAATTGCCTCGAAAAGAGTAGAAATGCAGAAATTTTAAAAATTACGTTTCTTTTTTAAGAAAAAATTCTTGGGATATTTTTAATCGATCAAAGGATTTCTTTCATAATAGACGATACGATAATAGACGATAGTTCTTTTTTTTTTTTTATAATTTATATAAAAATGTAAAAAAAAATAAATCGTGATGGAAGATGTCTTGAAAAAAATGAAAAATTCTAAAAACTACGTTTCTTCTTTTATTTAAGAAAAAATTTTTAAGATATTTTTAATCGATAAAAGGATTTCTTCCATAATAGACTTTTTTCAAATTTTCATAAAAATTCGAATCGTGCTAAAAATTATTTCGGACGAATCTTTTATGAAAAGAAATAATCGTAAACGAAAAGTTGGATATATACAAAGTTCTAAAAGTTAAGGAAACTATTCTTAAAGGATAAAATTCCAGTCGTGATAATCCTTAAACTCTTATTATATAGCAGAGAAAAATTTTTGCTATCGTAGAAAATGAAAAGGGGAGGATATATAAAAAATGTTCAATTACGAGAAAGAATATCTGGCGGATTGGAATTATCAGGCTTCATGGCGTGAAGCATTTACGATGCAACGCGAGACGTTCGATGCAACGTAAGATGTTCGCTCCCGCTGTTTATAAACTTGGAAACCGTGAAACAGATGTATTTCGAGGTTCATAGCCGATCCGAACACGCGGCGTACGTTTAAATCAAATTTAAACGAGTGATCGGATAAATCGTAATATCTCCACTCTATCCATTATTTTTCAATGAAATTATCAAAAACGATGAAAAATAACAAAGTGAAAATAAAAAAAAAAAACGATAACGAATCGTCACGACGAAAATTATTCGATAATCGCGATCGAGATAACGAAATGGTAATTTGCCAATCCAACGGATGCAATCTATAATTTAATCTCGATTTCGATGAATCGCGATAAGAATCGCGGAAGTGTTATGGAAAAAAAAAAAAAAAAAGAATAAAAAAGAACTTCTCGGGAAGCGATACGTCGAGCGCTTTGTTCAAAGGTGGAAAGCGTTTTACGACGATAAAATGAAATCGTTAGAAACGAATGAAAACGCGGCTTTAAAACCTCGCCTCGAATTCTTCGCGTGGCGTGACGTTACGTGAGAGCGAGATTTGGGTCTGTAATTTTCAGCAAAAGCAAGATAATTAAGCTTTGCCGGTTGATCGTTTTAGTGATTCGCGTGGAAACGGTCGGGTAGCAATGCCTGTAAGGCACGAATACGTTACGAGAGAGAAATTTCAGTTAACGACGCGACGTTGTTAATTCGAAAATAAGAAATGCATAATCCAAACTCACGATCTTTTTTCCACTTCTCTTAGAGAATGTCGTGCACGAGGAATTGTCCTGTATATCGAAACGGTTTCTCGAATCTTGATTTATATATTATTATGTTTCTTGGAAAATTGATGAAGGCCGTGGAAACTTTTGTGGACGGACTTGGAAAACGTTAATCGTTTTTGCATAAACGGAATACAGCACAAACGGAATACACTTTGACAGATTTATTTGTTCGAAGAAGATTCGAACCAAGTGAGAGTTCAAAAGAGTCGAAACTGATCCTTAACCTCAACTCCTCGTTGGCTGATTGGTGGCGCGAATTGGTGGCGATATTCGGTACTTCAACTCAGTTACTAGGATGCGTAGCAGAGGCTACTGTGACAAGTACGGGGCTTGTTACACCAGGCCAGTTAAACGTTATTTCTCTGCATTAGGCGTAGTATCTGGAACGCGGGACTTTACGAGGGGAAATCAGTTTATCGAGCAAGTGGGCCTCGTAATTCACGATCTCTCTCTCTGATAACCCGCGCCTAACGATCCACCGACGCCGTTCCCCTTATCAGGATGCTAATAATGGTGCCACGCGGTGTCAAACTTTGCGATTTCTGGATAGATCGGGGACACTGTTTGAAAAATTCTTCAAAATCATCGAACGAGTCGAAGGGATCGAAACGTGTGAACCAAAAGGGATAAGAAATAATTATCGAATCGCGTTGAGAAAAATTGATTTTGTTTGATCTAAAGCGGCCGCGATGAGAATAGGAAATTTATTTAAGGAAATGAAGAAAAAGAAAATTTTCGACCTCGAAGTTTAATACAGGACCCAATTCTCTCTATATAACTTACGTGTAATATATTTACGTACCTTTATATCACACTGTTTCCTGTTTTCTCAACAGAGGGCGTAATCGGCCGAAATTCGAGAAAATGGCCGATTAATCTCTCGCAATCGGGGACAGGTTATTAATAGAGGGATCGGTGGAAAATTCGTCAGTCAGAACGAAATTAAACTGGGTATTTGGCAGCATCCGTGGAATGTGGAGACGTTGAGACAATTTCGTACGGTGTCAAGGCTATTATCTCGTTTAATAATAATAGAAAATACCAGAGAGAGAGAGAGAGATGGAATCCTTGCGGATCAACGCAATGACGCGTGTATGCAAGCATGCGGCGAAACCGATGCCATATACATATACATACCATATACATATATATATATATATATATATATGCACGCGAGAAACTGGGTGTTAATTAGACGAATGACTGAATTAGCGGCGTTTATCCATGGGAAGATTGTGGTGTTGCCCGTGTTTCACTTTTATACCGCGAAAGTAGATCTCCCGTTCAATTTCACCGCGATTGAATTTAAATTCCTCGAGTTACTTGTCGTTCCCTTATTCGAGGAACAATGAGGATAGGCCCGATATGCTCCTCTGCTGCTAAGAGCCTCTTCTACGATTCTCAAGCTACGATTCCGTAAGTCAATTACATGCTAATTAGAGAGGCTTTTGTGGGATTGTTCTAGCGGAGAAAACGGAATTAACAGGTTTTCTAATAAAACGTGATTTATCGATGTTGCATTTGGCGCATCGGAGGAGAGTTTGAGAGGAATTGAAATTATATCAAACCAAAATAATATGAATCGAATGCATCCAAGTATCCAAATTGATAGGTGGAATCTGACACGTGGAAAGCTCTCTGCTAATTATCTCGAACCGAATACACAACGAAACAGACAAATCCTATGAGAAGGAATAGAATTCCTCTATTTTATCCGCATTTTCTCGAGGAAAGAAATAAAATAGAGAGACGTATCATCAGTTTCGTATATCTGTTCGTAACTTTTTCTCTCCAGTTTTTTTTCAGAAGGAAGAAACGATTATTCGACCAAGAAATAAATGGGAGAACAATGGGAGAAGGGGAACAAAATATAGAAATCACGATGTTGCATCGAAAAAAAAAGGCTAGTACACACGCGAAAAAGGTATTCAGTATCGTTGGTGAAACGTGGCGTAATCTGTAACGACGTTGGTAATAACGTTCTTGCGAGAAAGAACGATCGACGATCACCGATACGACCCACTTGGACGTCCGACACTAGCCTCTAGCCTCTGGTATCGAGGACAAAAATTTTATTCGATACTTTTCCAATCTTATCCTCCGACTGGTGAAAACTTCTCGAAAGCGCGAAATTCTATCGGATTTCTGAAAAATTCAGACGGGAATTCAGAAGGATCGACGCTAACTAACCAAAAAAATAGGAGAGAAAAAAGAGGAGGAAAAACACAGTCGACGTCCTCGTTGATTCTGACGATGGTTCCTTCGATAAATTGAATCGAATTGAGCTCAGCCTTGGGGGAAAATTCGAGGAGGACTAATATAAAATTCTATGGATCTGGGGAATCGGTTCGAAGAAATTCGAAAAGAAAGAAGATACACAGTTACGCGGAAGAAAGGAAAGAGAGGAAAACGTGGAAATTGTTCTCCGACGATAAGTTTCTTAGGAAAAATGCAAAAAAATCGAGTCGAATCGAGAGAGGTCTCGGCGCAATTTTGCACGCCTCGAACACGATTGCACGCAAGCATGGAAAAAAAAGAAAAAAAAGAAAAAAGAAAAGAAAGGAACAAAAGGAAGAATTGGCGTGAATTACGCGATTCCTATCGTTCAAATAATTTCCACGAAATGGACGATTCAAGTGTTTCGAATTTTCGTTAAATGGATAGCGGCGACTCGAGCGTGTTGCGCGCAGCCTGCCTCTCTCTGTCTCTGAATGCACATTCTGCACGCATGCCCCGGAATAATTACAATTTCCGCGTGCGTCTTACGCATTCGTGATTATTATTTTTCCGGTGAACTGGCCTCGTTCCCGTTACCCCGGCCATATATCGAGAAAAAGATCGA